CCAACAGTAACATTTTCAATACAGAGACCCCTTCTAATAGTGACATTTCCATAGGCTCTATTACCCCAATTACCTATGCTTTCATCATTTCGGCATCGACTTATTCTTTATTTAACCCCCCCCCCCTCATCTTTATTGTAAACCATTTTTTATACTGCATTTATACATAATTCTTGCCCACTCTCTTGTTACATTTCCGCTTTCTCTCTCATTAGGAAAGATGGTTAAATCTATCTCGCTGATGCCAGATATAAACAAACATCAAAAGGTCGAACACCATACTCAATTCTACACAAGACTGCATCAGCCCCCATCTCACCTCAGTCATACAGCATTATCATTACAGAGTGCCTACATCATCATAATCACCAGCATCATCACATATATTTCACAAAATAAGAAAATGAAAAGAACAGAATTCAGCAGTATTAACTGATTTATTAACATTTATGAATCATTTATCAACATATTTTGTTTCTATAAAGTCTTTTTAAATCCAACATGACATCAACAAAATGATGACAAATGGATGGGGGAGGGGGTGCTGTCTCTTGAATTCAAATCTTTCAGTTGTAAAAATTTACTGTAGATTTTGAAGAAAAAAATATTCAATAATATCAACAAGCTATTTTATTATGTAAAGCACAGGTATATACTGAGTTTTATGAGTACTTTATCTTACATTGGACATTATGTTGTTGTTTTTACTACTACCTGTATTATCATTATTATTACTGCTATTATCATGATCATTGTCATTATTGTTACTTTTTTAATATTGTTATTATTATTAATATTAATTATATTAATACAGTCTTACTATTGAACTATATCATTTTATCCCCCCCCCCTACAATTTACTATCCAGTTCAGCATCCCTCATATTTTTGTCAGAACTTGACTTAAGATTAAATATCAAAAAACTATGTTACATGTACACGCATTTAAAAGAACAAATGATTACTTTCATGATCCTCGATATATCTTCTTCTTCTTCTTCTGGTAATCTTCAAAAGGCGTTGTTGTAGCCTATCATGAAGATGAACTAATACTAAAGATTACAAGTGGTGTGAGGAAGACAGATTGTTTCTAAGTGGGATAAGGAGAATAGATGCCTCAGAAGTAGTCCTGGCAGTTCTCTGGACTGTCAGCATGCACTATATTTGCTGGAAGTCAGTTCCATTAACTTTGGGACAGAGTGTTGGGCAAATACAAACTTGTCTACCTATGTCGCTTCTGGCTTGGTGCAACTGGAGGGTCATGTCATGGTACTTCCTGCTCGTGATTTGTTAAAGCCCGTCTGTACTAGTTTGGCCAGGGGGATAAGACCACCCTGCAAGGTCACTGACAGGTGGTTATCTCATCAAATCAGCTCTCAATTAATATAAGAAAAAGAGGATCATGGGGACCAACAGGCACAGATTAGGCATTGTTGCTATATAGAGGGCGCAAGTAGCTATAAGTAGTGCAGTGGGAAAATTTTCAAGGAAGAGCGGAGAGACCATTGACTATCTTGTGCACCATTCCCAGTCTTCTTGCAGAGTGCCTTGTAGTTGTAGATATAGTAGGCAACTAAAAGGTGCTGATCATCTCAGTCAAACTGCTGCTTCTCTTGTGGTCCCCATTGTGAAGTAGCGTCTGGACATCTGAGATGTTGTAGGGATCCCAGACACCGGAACAGTTCTCAAGATGAGGGTGGACTAGGGACTTGTACAAAAGAAGCCTGGGTATCAAACCTTCTGCATGGGACAACCTGAATAATAAAAACAAAAAGAGAGGAGAAATCAAATAAGATTAAAACTGCTGCATTATATTGGATTTTCAAAAATAGTACCTCCCCACTTTTGTTTAGGTCTTGCATTTTAATTTTACTAAAAAATGATAACTTATGTCTATCTGATAGGGCCTTTTTAAGAGAAGAGTAAGGTTTAGATGTATTTCCAATTATTTTAAAAGTAATTTCCAATTTATTTTAAGTTATTATTTGCTAGACTTTTGTGAACAAAAGTTTGTTAGATATAATGTAATATTTAGGAAAAAATGCCTTTGAGTATGTCTTTTAATATGCTGAGAGAATAAACTGTAGCAACACCATAGTTTGTCACCTAAATAAAGCTAGAGAATAAATGAGAATTACCAGATATAATGCAACACAAGATGACAGTTCCCAAATCTTGTATATAGTCCAAGTCGAGTGCGGTGTTCGCATGGGCTTAGATTATACAGCCTGAATATTTTCGAACTTCATACAAACATACCTTGCCAGAGTTCAACTTAGGTGTCTTGTTCCTGATTAGATCTACACCATAACATTTGATGATCAGGTCCTGGTGCTCTTTGTTGCACTTCTGTGATCATTATCTGCTTCTTTGTTCCATAGGATCTACAATTAAAAGAAAACAGAAACTTAGTAAGGTTCCTGCTAATATCAAATGCATGCATTAGTTATCAGTTTATAACTTTGTTCATGTCGTAGAGAAAAGAAATATCCATGTCATATGTAGGGTTGGATCCAGAATTCTCACCAACATAAAAGGGGTGGCATAAAATCCTGAAAATAGACCAATTATTTCAAACAAGGCACAATGACATAACTAAGAGCGAAATCAGGGGAAGTGGGAGGGGGGGGGGGGGGGAGGAAATACCTTTTTTGTTTTGTTTTTGTTGTTGGTAGATTTAGCCTAGATCTACATTCAAACTAAGCTGAATCTGGACCTTGATCACAATAATGACACATGCGCACGACTAGTCTAGTAGTGGAGCAAAACGAGCCTAGACCCATGGCTATGGAAGTCTTTGCTAAAAGCTATGGCATAACACAAGCTATAGATCTAGATCTAATGCCTATTTTAATATTATTACTATTAGTAGACCCTACTAGTAGGGGGCGACCTACATCTAGACCCGTCCCTATGCCACATCTGAATAAGGGGGCACAGAATGATTGTGCACACCCCCCCCCCTCCATAACTTCCACATTGACCCACCTAAACCAGGCATTTAGGTCTATTTAGTCTTTTTTTTTATTTATTAGAATGCATTAGGCCTAGAATCTAGCCCTAGATATAGACCTAGGTCTATAGATGCGGGGTTAAATGCTGTTTATACTTAGTTAAGTGCTAGATCTAGACTAGACGGTAGACCTAGCCTAGCCTAGGCTCTGCTTAGCCTTAGCCCGAATTTTTCTGTCTCTTTCGTTCGTTAGCCTCTGATTTGGGTAGGGTCAGCTAAAGAGAGGAGCCGACCCTACCCAAATCAGAGGCTAACGAACGAAAGAGACAGAAAATTCAGGCTAGACTATGCTATGAATAGTCTAGAGCTAGAGGTCTAGGCTTTACAGTAACACACTGTAAAGTTATAGCCACGCCAGCTCAGGAAAACGCAGTCGCTTCTTGGTGGAGTTTACAGCCGGCTAGCACCGGCGAATTGAAAATCATAAAACCGCTCGACGAGATCTCGTCGGCTTGGACTAGCAATGAGCCATTTGCGCAGTCTACAACAGGTCCACATCTACGACCGATTACTATCGGTAATCAAGCTATGAACTGAACTTAAAATTATGAGATGTGCTCTAATGAAATAACCTACGGTAAAATCCTGATTGTTTCTAAAAATATTACCGTCGATGACTTATATTAGAGTTCATTCAATCAGTTAATATTCTTTAGTCAGAAGAAAGAAAAGAGGATGGGGTAGGGGGTTAACCGGGTAAGACGTTGTGACAATGCGGAGAGCCCCTCACTGCAATGACGAACACATCACAATCATTTCAGAGACCTTCACACAAAATGGATCTTTACTTACTTTTCTTGATATCATAGGGTATCACTTCGATGTCAATGTTCGCCTGAAGATTTTCTGCTTCACTGAGATGTACTTGACAAACTTCTATTATAATAGAAATTCACTTAAAAGAAAAATGTTTCATTGTTCGTAATTGAATAACTTGAAAGTTGCAGTTCATACAACCGCCATTTTCGTGGTCAAATCGTAGGGAATTCTGGGAATGCAAAAAATGTTTTATGCATGACCTAATACATAAAACATTTTGTCGATGGCCAATCAACAAACAGAAGTTGGCGTATTTTTTACGTCATTGCTCATGAATATTCATTGTCCTCCAAAACCGTCGTTCAAATCGGACAAAACCCCCATAATGCATCCAATACAAAACCTATGAAATGTCAAAGGTCACGATTTTAGTTGGCCCTCTAGTCCTCCTACGGAGGACATACTGTGTATGATCGAATCTCTTTGAAGAGGGTAAATTTCAGGGGGGGATGACTGTCCTCGGGGTTGGGGGGGGGGGGGGGGTTAAAACCCCCGTAGATCCGCCACTGACATACTAGCTAGCAATTCCTACAAATCACCTCCAGGCTCAAAGTAGAATCATATTAGTGTGTCGGTATTATTTCGAGCTGAACAAAGGGCAAACTTCGCTGGGCTGGGCTGGGCTGGGCTGATGACCATAGAATTCAAAGCTAATTTCACAATTACATTTTTGAATAAAGGATAACTTAGCAAGAAGTTACCGACTGTAATCTTAGATCCTCATTAAATTCATGTAACTTGGCCTAATTAAGACGATGATGATCATCATTAGGGTCGCTAACTTCACGAGCGCGCGCCCGCCCGCACCCAATCTTCGGTACGGTAGGCAACTGTGTAGCGGTTTGACGTGAAACATGTGAGACTTTGGTTGGGCTCTCTAAATTGATTTTGTATGTGTTACTGAGTGTGTATGTGGAACTTGACGGTGCCAAAATGCCACACAAAATCGAATATCACTCAGAAAAAAAAAATTTCATTTCATTTAAAAGTCTCCTCCTTATAATAGTTGGGGAGGGGAAGCTAGGGGTAGAGAACAAGGATATTGAACAGTATTTCTTTCAGAACGATTCGCTGCAGTAATCAAAAGGGAAAAAACAAAAAAACGTAGCAGACGACGGTAAGCTACTCAATAGACAGGTGAGATCCACTCATGTAATCAGGCATGATCCACGCAATGCATGATGGACAGGCGTATGAAAGATGACATCATCGTTCAACCTATTTGAAGTTAAAGACTGACGTCATCATTGAGCATGCGCACAAAGTGCGCTTTATTGACCAGTGTCAATGTTACGTCATGGCCCGTGTCTTGGAAACGGTTGAGGGTTATTTTTGTTACTGTTCTGCATAAATGTTATAAACGATGTAAATATGTTCATTCAGGGCCCATGGAAGACCACTACTTGTTGGTGAATGGGCTACGTACCCTGCCAAAAGATTAGAAACAAATAAATAAATAAATTTAAAAAGAAACCCCCAAAAACAGAGGGAAAGGGAAGGTAAGAGGAGGGTTTCAGCATGTCAAGGGCGTCACCTCAAGCAAAAACAATTCCCAAAAAAAAAAAATTAAAAAAAATGCCTACAACACCCGGTATTCCCAGGCGGTCTCCCATCCAAGTACTAACCAGGCCCTACGCTGCTTGACTTCGGTGATCGGACGAGAACCGGTATATTCAGCATGGTATGGTCGTAGGCGAAAGACATCATCGTTCAACCTATTTGAAGTTAAAGACTGACGTCATCATTGAGCATGCGCACAAAGTGCGCTTTATTGACCAGTGTCAATGTTACGTCATGGCCCGTGTCTTGGAAACGGTTGAGGGTTATTTTGTTACTGTTCTGCATAAATGTTATAAACGATGTAAATATGTTCATTCAGGGCCCCATGGAAGACCACTACTTGTTGGTGAATGGGCTACGTACCCTGCCAAAAGATTAGAAACAAATAAATAAATAAATTTAAAAAGAAACCCCCCAAAAACAGAGGGAAAGGGAAGGTAAGAGGAGGGTTTCAGCATGTCAAGGGCGTCACCTCAAGCAAAAACAATTCCCCAAAAAAAAAAATTAAAAAAAATGCCTACAACACCCGGTATTCCCAGGCGGTCTCCCATCCAAGTACTAACCAGGCCCTACGCTGCTTGACTTCGGTGATCGGACGAGAACCGGTATATTCAGCATGGTATGGTCGTAGGCGAAAGACATCATCGTTCAACCTATTTGAAGTTAAAGACTGACGTCATCATTGAGCATGCGCACAAAGTGCGCTTTATTGACCAGTGTCAATGTTACGTCATGGCCCGTGTCTTGGAAACGGTTGAGGGTTATTTTTGTTACTGTTCTGCATAAATGTTATAAACGATGTAAATATGTTCATTCAGGGCCCCATGGAAGACCACTACTTGTTGGTGAATGGGCTACGTACCCTGCCAAAAGATTAGAAACAAATAAATAAATAAATTTAAAAAGAAACCCCCCAAAAACAGAGGGAAAGGGAAGGTAAGAGGAGGGTTTCAGCATGTCAAGGGCGTCACCTCAAGCAAAAACAATTCCCAAAAAAAAAATTAAAAAAAATGCCTACAACACCCGGTATTCCCAGGCGGTCTCCCATCCAAGTACTAACCAGGCCCTACGCTGCTTGACTTCGGTGATCGGACGAGAACCGGTATATTCAGCATGGTATGGTCGTAGGCGAAAGACATCATCGTTCAACCTATTTGAAGTTAAAGACTGACGTCATCATTGAGCATGCGCACAAAGTGCGCTTTATTGACCAGTGTCAATGTTACGTCATGGCCCGTGTCTTGGAAACGGTTGAGGGTTATTTTTGTTACTGTTCTGCATAAATGTTATAAACGATGTAAATATGTTCATTCAGGGCCCCATGGAAGACCACTACTTGTTGGTGAATGGGCTACGTACCCTGCCAAAAGATTAGAAACAAATAAATAAATAAATTTAAAAAGAAACCCCCAAAAACAGAGGGAAAGGGAAGGTAAGAGGAGGGTTTCAGCATGTCAAGGGCGTCACCTCAAGCAAAAACAATTCCCCAAAAAAAAAAATTAAAAAAAATGCCTACAACACCCGGTATTCCCAGGCGGTCTCCCATCCAAGTACTAACCAGGCCCTACGCTGCTTGACTTCGGTGATCGGACGAGAACCGGTATATTCAGCATGGTATGGTCGTAGGCGAAAGACATCATCGTTCAACCTATTTGAAGTTAAAGACTGACGTCATCATTGAGCATGCGCACAAAGTGCGCTTTATTGACCAGTGTCAATGTTACGTCATGGCCCGTGTCTTGGAAACGGTTGAGGGTTATTTTTGTTACTGTTCTGCATAAATGTTATAAACGATGTAAATATGTTCATTCAGGGCCCCATGGAAGACCACTACTTGTTGGTGAATGGGCTACGTACCCTGCCAAAAGATTAGAAACAAATAAATAAATAAATTTAAAAAGAAACCCCCAAAAACAGAGGGAAAGGGAAGGTAAGAGGAGGGTTTCAGCATGTCAAGGGCGTCACCTCAAGCAAAAACAATTCCCCAAAAAAAAAAATTAAAAAAAATGCCTACAACACCCGGTATTCCCAGGCGGTCTCCCATCCAAGTACTAACCAGGCCCTACGCTGCTTGACTTCGGTGATCGGACGAGAACCGGTATATTCAGCATGGTATGGTCGTAGGCGAAAGACATCATCGTTCAACCTATTTGAAGTTAAAGACTGACGTCATCATTGAGCATGCGCACAAAGTGCGCTTTATTGACCAGTGTCAATGTTACGTCATGGCCCGTGTCTTGGAAACGGTTGAGGGTTATTTTTGTTACTGTTCTGCATAAATGTTATAAACGATGTAAATATGTTCATTCAGGGCCCCATGGAAGACCACTACTTGTTGGTGAATGGGCTACGTACCCTGCCAAAAGATTAGAAACAAATAAATAAATAAATTTAAAAAGAAACCCCCAAAAACAGAGGGAAAGGGAAGGTAAGAGGAGGGTTTCAGCATGTCAAGGGCGTCACCTCAAGCAAAAACAATTCCCCAAAAAAAAAATTAAAAAAAATGCCTACAACACCCGGTATTCCCAGGCGGTCTCCCATCCAAGTACTAACCAGGCCCTACGCTGCTTGACTTCGGTGATCGGACGAGAACCGGTATATTCAGCATGGTATGGTCGTAGGCGAAAGACATCATCGTTCAACCTATTTGAAGTTAAAGACTGACGTCATCATTGAGCATGCGCACAAAGTGCGCTTTATTGACCAGTGTCAATGTTACGTCATGGCCCGTGTCTTGGAAACGGTTGAGGGTTATTTTTGTTACTGTTCTGCATAAATGTTATAAACGATGTAAATATGTTCATTCAGGGCCCCATGGAAGACCACTACTTGTTGGTGAATGGGCTACGTACCCTGCCAAAAGATTAGAAACAAATAAATAAATAAATTTAAAAAGAAACCCCCCAAAAACAGAGGGAAAGGGAAGGTAAGAGGAGGGTTTCAGCATGTCAAGGGCGTCACCTCAAGCAAAAACAATTCCCCAAAAAAAAAAATTAAAAAAAATGCCTACAACACCCGGTATTCCCAGGCGGTCTCCCATCCAAGTACTAACCAGGCCCTACGCTGCTTGACTTCGGTGATCGGACGAGAACCGGTATATTCAGCATGGTATGGTCGTAGGCGAAAGACATCATCGTTCAACCTATTTGAAGTTAAAGACTGACGTCATCATTGAGCATGCGCACAAAGTGCGCTTTATTGACCAGTGTCAATGTTACGTCATGGCCCGTGTCTTGGAAACGGTTGAGGGTTATTTTTGTTACTGTTCTGCATAAATGTTATAAACGATGTAAATATGTTCATTCAGGGCCCCATGGAAGACCACTACTTGTTGGTGAATGGGCTACGTACCCTGCCAAAAGATTAGAAACAAATAAATAAATAAATTTAAAAAGAAACCCCCCAAAAACAGAGGGAAAGGGAAGGTAAGAGGAGGGTTTCAGCATGTCAAGGGCGTCACCTC